GGCTCACGCCCACTGGCGCTAGCGCTGCCTTCTCCCAGAATCCGTCTGCTTTTCCCTCCTTTTTTCACCTCTCTTTTCTCTCCTTGCCCTTGTAGAGGAAAAAGGTCCGTGCGATATCCCTTCCTCTTTCTCCTCCTCCTCCTCCTGGTTCAGGTTTCCTGTGCATGGCTGTGGTGGTCTCTGACTAACCCAGTAACCCCAGTGTGGTGTGTGAGGGCCCCCCTAACCCCCATAACTGCTCTGCCCCTCTCTCCGGGGCCCGGAGGGGGGGAAGGAAGGAGGGGGCATGGCTGTGTCCGTCCCGTGCCCTGTGCATGCCCAGGGCTGTGCTCACCCAGGGCTGAGTTCCAGAGCAGGACACAGGGAGCAGCTCTCATCCCGCCTCTCCACAGGGCATGAAGCAGAGCTATGATGAATATGCTGACTCTGATGAGGATCAGCACGATGCCTACTTGGAGAGGATGAAGGAGGAGGGCAAGATCCGGGAGGAGAATGCCAATGACAGCAGCGATGGTTCCGGGGAGGAGACAGGTGAGAGTTGGGGCTGTGAGGGGCTGCCATGATGCTCCAGCTCCTGCTCCCCATGATGATCTGAAGCCCTGAGCTCTCGCTTTCTCTTTCAGACTCATCCTTCAACCCTGGAGAAGAGGATGATGACGTGGCTGAAGAGTGAGTAGAGACCAGGCAGGGCTCTATCCAGAAGCCCCATAGGAAGGTGCTGTTCTAGGGCTGTGTGAGCATTGAGAGATGTTCATAGCATGCTGAGATCACCTGGATTTGGGAATGTACAGCCCTGGATTTGGAATGTTGGGCAGCTGGGGCAGTTCTGGTCTCACTTCATTGTAATGGCATTAGGCAGTATGAGAGCGTTCTGGAAGGGCTCCTGGGGAGGCCTTGGCTGCACTTTTCGGGAAAGAGAAGAGTTGGGAGGAGGATTAAAGCCCCAAGCTGGGGTGAGGATGGGGTGGGAGTCATGGGGGAGCTTGAAGCTGAGCCCTGGCGCCATGAGAGCTCCAAATATCCAGGAAGTAGAGCACAATGAGCTGTGTTCGTGGAAAGCTGCTCCCCTGAGGGCTGTTAATGGGAGCAGGGCAGCTCCAGCCCGGGAAGCCTCAAGGCTGTGGTGGCTGGGGCAGCTCTGAGGCTGGTGCCGCCATGCAGGTTCGACAGCAACGCCTCGGCCAGTTCCTCCAGCGGTGATGGTGACAGCGACCGTGAGGACAAGAAACCGGCCAAGAAGGCCAAGATCGTCAAGGACCGCAAGCCCCGCAAGAAGCAGCCAGAGGTGAGGGGCTGCTGTGGGTGCAGGACCAGCTCCTGGAGTGGGATCAGGCAGGTCACAGCCCCACCTGAGCTGCCTCACCTCATGCTCTGCAGCACTCATTAGTGCCCTGGCCAGAGCTGTTGTCTAGGCTTGGCATCGCTGCCTTCAGATGGGTCCCGGCTGAGCCTCTCCCAAGGGCACGTTGTTCCCATGCCCAGCCTATCCTGGTTGTTGTCGGGCTGTTCTCCAGCAGCCTGACCCCCAGCTGTGATCCTCCAGCCCCTCTCCCAGGGCTGCAGCTGGATTGCTGGGGGGTGCAGAGGCGAGCAGGGCCTGGTCCTGAGGTGTTGCGTGAGGGGTGCATTGGGGTTCCACGAGTGTTCTCCACCTCCCAGAGCAAGAAGGGGAAGGACCCCAACGCTCCCAAGCGCCCGATGTCAGCCTACATGCTCTGGCTGAATGCCAGCCGGGAGAAGATCAAGTCGGACCATCCTGGTATCAGCATCACCGATCTGTCCAAGAAGGCTGGGGAGCTCTGGAAGGCCATGTCCAAGGAGAAGAAGGAGGTGAGGGATGGGAGGCCCAGAACAGAGCTGGGCCTGGTTCAGGAGGGGAGGCTGGATGTAGAAGACCCTTCCTTGCTCATGGGAGCCTGGAGCTGTACAGATGGGGAGTTGGGAAGGGCTGGGGACATCCTCGGGCTGGTGAGCTGGGTGATGAGAAGTGGGAGCAGGGTGGGGTGCAGGTTTGTGCTGGAGGAGGGGGACTGTGTGCTCTGGCTGCAGGAGTGGGATCGGAAGGCAGAAGATGCCAGGCGAGACTACGAGAAGGCCATGAAGGAATACAGTGTGGGCAGCAAGGCCGACAGCCACAGGGGGTGAGTGTGCTGGCAAGGGGCTGGCAGGGCCTGACCCCAAAAATTGGGCTGTTCCGGGGGTCAGTGCACTGCTAACTGGGTAATGCGGCTCCTCTCCCCTCTGCCCACCCAACCCTGCGCAGGGAGAGGTCAAAGAAGAAGAAGAAGAAGCAGGAGAAGCAGGTGAAGGGGAAAGGGGACAAGAAAGGTGCCACCTCCAAGTCTTCATCCTCCAAGTCCCCGGCTAAGGGCATGAGTGACAGCTTCAAGAGCAAGGAATTCGTGTCCAGCGATGAGAGCTCCTCTGCAGAGAGCAAGAAGGAGGTGGGGGTCACAATTGGGGGAGGTCCTGGTCCTTCTTCCCAAGGGAATGACTGTGAGGGTCTCAGCCCCTCTTCCTTGGGGTACATCCCGGTGATTTCTGCTGGAGAGGCTGGGTCCTTCTGGTACCTCATGTCGTGGTACTTTGAAATCCCTCGAGGTGTCCCCAAATCACCAGTATCATCCTGTCCCTGCTGTAGTAGGGGATACTGCTCTGCCATCATTGTCCCCTGCTGACCTCTTTGTCCCCTGCTCGTAGGACTCAGAGGACGAGGGAGCTGCCAGCCCGGCCCCCAGCTCAGAGGACTCTGCATCCGGCTCGGATTAGCCCCATCCCAGTTGGCTCCAGGCTGGATCCCAGGTCGGGAGAGGACTGGGTGGGCCGGCCCCACGGCAAGGACCCAGGTCCCAGGCTCTGGATGGCTCCCACCTGGGAGCAGGGCCAGGTTCCCCTGTTCCCCCAGCACCCCATGGTGGCAGGAGGTGCCAGAGGCTCCTCAGTCCTTCACCTTTGTATTCCATCAATTTATTTTTTCTAAACACTTGGGTTTCTGTCCTTTTCTTTCCTTCCCTCGTTGGGTTTTTTTTTTTTTTGGTGTTGTTTTTTTGTATTTTGGGTCCGTTCACATGGCAACTCGGGTTGAATAAAAAAAAAAACCCACTGATGGTGTTTGTGTGGGTGTGGGGCTGGCTCCCCCATCCCTCCTTCCTTCCTGCAGCCATCCGGGAGCTCGTTCCCCTCCTTGAACCGCTTCCAGGGCTGACTTCACTCTCTCCCCACCCTCCATTAGCGGCCCCCAGCCCCTGCTCAGCCATCAGGGCTCCTAATTACAGCCCCTCGCTCGATCCTGATGCCATTTGGGGGTTTTTCTACCTCTCTCATGAGGGGGTTGATCCGATTAAGGCCTGTTTCCCCTCCGGCGTTGATTACAGCCGATTCCCGGTCTGGAACCAGCCCCAGGGGGGACCCCATGGCGTCCTGTTTCCCCCTCCTTCCAGTGCCTTTACTGGCACCGCTGGTATGGGGCTGCGGGGAAGCAGGAGCCCCCCGGGACGGAAGCGGCGGGTCCCCGGTGGGCACAATGGACCCTGGATGCCCAAATGGTGGGGGGGGGCTCTATTGTTACAGCAACCTCCACCTAAATACGCATTACTGCCCTTCTGGCAGCAGACCCACGGTTAGAGGACCCCGGGAATGGGATAATTTGCAACCGGGGGGATCCATGGGGTGCTGCCCGGCCCCTGGGGGTGATTCGGGGTGTGCTGGAGGTCTCCAGCGTGTCCCCCGCCCCCATTTTGGAGGGCTCTCTAGCCGCCCCTCTCTATGGCCCGCCCGCCACGCGGCGCCGCTCCGCCCCGCCCCTCTCTGTCGGCGGGGCGTGGCCGGGCCGCTCATGAATATGCATGAGCAGCGCCGGTGGAGGGTGAGTGGGGGTCTCTCTGCCAGCATGGAGCTGCGGGTAACTGGGATCTCTCCCGGGCCTGTGGCTCCCGCCGGGGCACCACGCGGCTTCGGCCTCGGCGGGCAACATGGGCCCGGGACCCCCGAATTGAGTGGGGGGCTTCGTTGTCATGGGGACGGCGCTAGGCCGCGGTTGCGGCCTACTTAGCCACTCGATCGGAGGCTTCGTTGCCGTAGCAATGAGGCTAGGCCGTGCTGGCGGAGGACCCCGGGGGGCCGGACCCGCATCCCGGGGCCCCGCCGCCATCCCGGGCTGGGAAACGGGCCCGATGGTTTCCAGATGTGGGTTGTGGCGGCGGCTCACCCGTGGAAGGCGAGAGGAGGGGGGTCTTGGGGAGGGTGGACCCCGGCGGGGCTGAAGGGAGCGAGGCGGGGAGGAGAGGGCAGGGGAGAGAGGGCAGGGCCGGGAGGAGGCACCGAGCGGGTTTTTCCTGTCCCCGCAGCCCCGGTGAGTCACGGGAGAGGCGGCGGCAGCAGCGTGAGACCCGTGGGGACAGTAACCCCTCCTCCCCGCCCGCTCTGCGCCCCCCACGTGTGTCCCCGGCCCGCCCCCGACATGAGGCTGATGTGGGGAAGGTGAGTGGAGCACCCACGGCTCCCGAGAGGGGCTAGTCGAGGGTCTCGGGGGACCGGGCGGTGCCTCCCGGGCTGCCGGGGGCTCCGGGGGGCTGGGGGTGACCTGGGCAGGAACCGGAGATGGGGACTGGAGCGGACTAGGGGCCAGCTCGGCGCTGGGGGGTTGGCGAAGGTCGGTGAGAGTGACACGTGTGTGTTGGGACAGGCTAGCGCAGGGTCAGACAGGTAGAGGAGAGGCCCCACGGCGTCAGGGGGTGTCGTGTGGTGTCCGTGTGGTTACGGGGCGGGTTGGGGCCATGTCTGGGTCTGCTGCCGGGGCCAGGCTGGCTCAGGTGAGCCGAAGCCGATGTGCTAAGGGTGGCACCACGGTGTGATCGCCGTTTGGCACATTTGCACGGGATTTGGCACCGGGCCCCACAGGGTGGTTGGGCTCCCCCAGGCTCGGGGCGCTCCCCAAAACGATTCTCCCTCTCTCCTCAGAGGCTGACCCCACGCCGTGCTCCCCACATCCCTGTGTCACCATGGCCTCTCAGCCGCAGCCCCTGCACCCTGCCGTGCCCTGCACCTCCCCTGCTGGCACTGGGGGGGCCGGGCTGGCAAGCAGCCCTGATAAAGGTCAGTATCCCTCGTTGGGAGGGATTCAGGGTGGGGGGGTTGCTGGGGCAGCCCCCTGAGGGCTGTTTACAGTTGTGGGGGGCTGCACCACTCCTCTGACCCCGTCCCCTTCCCTTGCTCTCCGCAGGCAGCACTCGTCCCAAGCCACCGGTGCGGCCCAAGCCCCGCGTGCTGCCCAAGCCGGCCGTGCCCGCCAAGCCCCTGGTGCCTCCCCCCACGCCGGGCCCGCGGCACCCCCGGCCCGAGCTGCCCTCGGCCGAGAAGATGAACCGCCTAGCCGGGCCCCAGCCCTACAGCGGGGCAGGCACCGGGGGGCCCCTCCGGCGCCCCTCCTTCACTGTCAGATCACCCGAGACCCCCAATGGGAAGGGGCTCTCGTCGCCCCTGGTCACAGGCACCGAGGAGGAGGTGTCCCCGGCCCCACCAACCCCCTCCCGCAAGGGCCCGGCGCCTTTCAAGGTGACGCCAGTGCCAGTGGCTGCCAGGCCGGAGCGGTTCCCGGGCACTACCGTAGAGGAGATCCTGGCCAAGATGGACAGCAGGGAGGGCCCAGGCAGCCCAGACCGGGCCTGGCTCTCACCCTTCTGCACCGACCCCTCCTCCCGCTTTGGCTCCAAGACCTTTTCTGCCTTCCGGAAGCGTCCCAGTGGGGAGGCAGATGGAGCCCCCGCTGGCGAAGCCCCCCAGACACCCCGACCTGTGGCAGGCGAGCTGGGAATGGGGGATGATGGGCACCCTGTGGCTGAGATGAGGTGAGGACGCAGGGACCGACGCCGGGAGGAGTGGCAGTGGGAACAGGGAATATCACTCCGAGCCATCCCAGGGCTGGGAATGTAACGGAGCTGAGGTCTAGTCGCCGGCACGAGGCCCGGGTTCCTCCCGAGCCGCAGTGCCTCGAGCTGCCTCCGTGGGAAGGCCGGGGTGGCTGGTGCCGACCGCAGAATGGGCTGTCCCGGACCAGGAGCTGCCTGTGGGCGGGCTCTGAGCCAGCCCCTGGGCTGGGAGTATCAGGCAGGGGTCGGTCCCCCCGGAAATGCTCCTGATTTTCCAGCCTTGCTATTTTTTCCCTGCTGGGCCATACCAGGGCACAGGGAGCAGTCAGATCAGCGGGACTCCCAGCTGCAGGATGTCCTGGACCAGGGCCAGGGCTTGGCCACACTCCCAAGAGCCGGGCACCTCAGGGAGAGCTGGGCGGGGGCTGCTCTGAACCAGAGTGTGAGAAACACGCTCCCAAAGGACCAAAAACTTTCCGGAAGGGGAGTGGAGCCACTTTGCCTCCTTCCCCTTGCAGCCCAATCCAGAAACTGTGCAGCCATGGCAGGGCCTGACCCCTGTACCCTGCGTCCTTGAAGGGTGGTTTGGGGCAGGGGTGCCTCGAGGTTGGTGGGAGAACAGCACTGAGGCACACAGTGGGATTTACTCCCCTTACCCTTTTCTCTCTTCAGCAGCTCCCCCCCAACCGGGCCGAGCTGTGCCGGGGACCCCCGCGGACGCCGGAGGCCACCATCCCCTCCTGACGTGAGTGCTGGCCTCGCCCTCCGGCGCCATGGCGGCTCCACTCCTGGGCTCTCTCCTTCGGGGCTCTCCTGTCTCCTCCGGGGCTCCCTCTCTGCGGGGTGCGTGTCTCTCCTTTCTCCTTGGGGTGCTGGCTGTCTCTTCCTTGGGGGGGGGGGGCGTCAGTGCCCCCTGTGCCAAGAGCCCAGCGTGGGGCCCGGGGGTATGGGGGTGGCGTGTGCCAACACCGGTGCCAGGCGTGGGCAGGGAGCAGCCATGAGTCACCAGCTGGGGTTCAGTGACGCGGCAGGTATGTGGCAGGGCAGGCCTCATGGGCACCCTGCCAGCCCCTTTCCCTGTGCCGTGCTCTCTCAGGGCGGTGACCAGGACACTGGGCCATGGTGACACTGCAGGTGGCAGCCTGGGCAGTGGCATCAGGTCACCCCAGCAAGGGGGCAAACCCCGGCGGTGCTGGGCAGGGGGATGCCAACCGCAGGCAGGGCGGGGTGCTGTGCTGGGGGTTCTGACTTTTTCCTACTTCATTTCTTCTCTCCATCTGTCCAGGCGCTCTGGGGGCAGCGGGGGGCCGGGCAGGGAGCAGGGCTGGGGCGCCGGGAGCCGCCCTGGCTGAGTCACGCAGGAGCAGCTCAGTTCTGGCATGAAGCATGGGCACTTCCTGCCCCGGGTGCAGGGAGGGGAGTGGGGCTGGAAGGAGGGACCCTCTAGAGGTTTGGGGGGCTGGCTTTGGGATGGATGATGTTTGGAGGTGCCTCTTGAGTGACATGACCCCCTGCTGGCTTTTCCCACAGCTTTCCACTCTACAGCTCGGTGCCCTTGGACCTCCAGGCTCCCCAAGACCCCCCACCTGCCCAGCCCCAGGAGCTCCTTTCCAGCCTGCAGAGCCCTCTGCCCCAGCCCCTGGCTCCCCTGATGCCCCCCCTGAGCTCCTGGCCCCCGACTCCCCCACACTGCCCCCTGGCTCCCCCGAATCCCCCACTCGACCTCCAGTTGAGGTCCCCGTCACCTCCATCCAGGCCCCAGGTGCTCCTTCAGCCACTGAACCCCAGCACAGCATCTCCCGTTCCCCTGGCTCCCCACACACTCCAGGGGAGGGATCCCCTGGCACTGCCAGCCCCCCTGCCACTCCTGAACTGCCCCCACGAGTCACTTGCCCCCCTGGCTCTCCCGAGGCTGCTGCCGAGTACTTGGGCCCCCCCAGCCCACCCCTTGCCAAAGCCTCTCGTCCCCCAGGCTCCCCAGAGGGACCTGATGACTCCACAGTGTCCTCACGGTCCCATGAGGGTCCTGATTTCAACCCCCGTCCCTGGGATGTGGGCCTCCGGCGCTCCTCAGAGGGGGTGCTGCAGCCCCCGCCCACAGGACAGGGCCTGGGGGAGCTGGGGGGCTCGCTGAGTGCCCTGCCCCGGCCTGGAGACCTCCTGTCAGAGTCCTCCCTGGGCAGCGAGTCCGGCTGGAGCCTTTCCCAGTCCTTTGAGTGGACATTCCCATCGCGGGGGACTCGCTTGCCAGCCTTCCCTCCCCGCTCCCCTATCCGGGAGACCCCTGACTCAGGGCTCTCCGAAGAGGGGGAGTCAGATGGGGATGCGGCAGCCCCCTGCCCTCCGAAGGACAGCAGGTTTGAAGGACCTGACAGCCAGCAGGCAGAGGGGGCTCCATGCCCAGGGGGTCCCGTGGCCCAGCAAGAGGCTGAGGGCTCAGCAGAGGAGGAGGAAAGGGAGGCAGAGCAGGATGCTCCTGTGTCCCATTCCCCACTTCACATGACAAAGCCTGGCCAGGACCCAGCTGAGCCTGAGTCCCCCACCCAGCCCAGTCTCACTAGAGCTGCCCCCCTGGATCCAGCCCCCCCAGATCCAGATGCTCCAGCTGACTCATCCTGGGCAGGTGATGGCCCCAAGAGCTTGCAGGGTCCCGGGGGCCCAGGCCAGGCTGAAGGACCCTCGCAGGACCCTGACCCTCACGCTGACCCAGGCTGGCTGACAGAGCTGTTGGCATCACCCAGGGTCCACGGTTCTCCAGAGGTGAGTGGTGTGGGGGGCTCTGTGGGGTCGGTATGGGCTGGGCTCCTCCTCCCTGCCCTCCACTGAGCAGTGGGATGAAACAGGACAGGAGGATGGGTGGGTGGAGGCTGAGCAGGACTGTGTGCTGAGGGGCAGGTGGCAGGGTCTGTCCCCCACCTTGGGATGGGCCCTGCTGGGCTGTGTCCCCAAGGTGTTTCCCTCCTCCCCAGCTCTGCTGCTGTGGGAGCCAGGGTTGTGCCCCTCTCTAACTCCTCTCTCCTTTTTTCCACTAGAATCTGCTGGGCTGGTCACGGAAGGACCTATGCAGTGAGTTTGGTATTGGCCACCCTCGCCAGGACAGCACCTTTGAGTGGAGCCGCCCAAGTGTGTCCAGGGATAGAGACTGGCCTGTTGAGACCAAGCAGGACCAGGAATTCGAGACCAAATGCAGCTGGGGCAGCACCCACAGCGACAAGGACAGCACTGCCCGGGAGAGCTGGAGTGGTGACTACAGAGCAGCAGAGCTGACGGGGGACACAAAACTGGGCTGCAGTGACTGGTCCCAGTCCCTTGGCACTGGGAAGAGCTGCCCACAGGATCCAGACTTTAGTGCCAGCACAGCCACGTGGGACCAGGGCTATGGCAACACAGAGAAGCTTGGCTCTGGACAAACCAGCTGGGGCAGTGGCCTTGGCACGAGACATGTCCAGCAGCTGGACAAGGAGCCATGCTCCGGGCAGCCCACCTGGACAGGCAGGTACAGCAGTGGGGACACGGAGATGAAGGACAGGGAACTCACCCCAAACTGGGCCAGCAAATACAGCAGCCAGGATGCTGGGAGCAAGGAGGAGAATCTAACGCTGGGCTGGGCTGGCAGATCCAGCACTGGGGATGCTGGGAGCCCAGATAAGGAGCTCAGCCCTGGCCGGCCAGCTTGGGACAGGAGGTATAACCCCAGGGACATGGAGAGCCAGGACCGCGAGTTCAGTCCTAGCCGGCCAGCCTGGACTGGTGAAATCAGGGACATGGAAAGCCAGGACAGGGAGTTCAGCCCCAGCAGGCCAGCCTGGGATGACAGATCCAGCACTAAGGACACGGAGAGCCAGGACCAGGAATTCAGCCCCAGCAGGCCAGCATGGGATGACGGATCCAGCACCAGGGACACAGAGAGCCAGGATCGGGAATTCAGCCCCAGCAGGCCAGCCTGGGATGACAGATCCAGCACCAGGGATATGGAGAGTCAGGACCAGTTCGGTCCCAGCAGGCCAGCATGGGATGACACATCCAGTACCCGGGATATGGAGAGCCAGGACCAGGAATTCAGCCCCAGCAGGCCAGCCTGGGATGACAGATCCAGCACCA